CACAATTACAACATTTACAAACAAAAATAATCTTATTTCTCCCTTTCCCACTTTTTCTTTTTTTATTTCTTTTTCTTGCCTTATTCCATTAGCTAGGTCTTTCATTAGACAGCGCAGATTTTTAAATAAAAAAATTTTTCATAACTATCTTTATCTTGTCCACAACTCAGAAGAAAAACAATCACAATTTTACCGGAAGTTGTATGATCTTAGATTTAGGGTTTTTGTTGTTGTCTTCATTTTTTTTACTGTCAACACCATTTATTAGGTCAGGGAAATCTGCTTCTAGTTTTCTGAGAGGTTTTATTGAGTGTTGAATTTCATCAAATGCTTTGACATTTATCGAAATGATCTTTTTTTTCTCTTCCACTCTTCCTATCAAAATATTGAATCATCCTCGAATTACTGTAAGCCCCAATTGGTCATAATTTATATATATGCATATACATATGTATATTCTTGGATTTAATTTTCTCTAAGGTTGGTATTTATCTTGTTTATTTTAGGAAAAGCAGGGGAAAAATCAGCTTCACATTCCTGTCTTCTCACCAGAAAACACAGTAGTTATGCTCATCAGTATCTGCAGCATATGTTAACGAATTTTCGTTCCTTTCATTCAGAAGATGAAGTGGAAAAAGGAAGTTCGAAGATGTAAATGTTAAGAAAAAGGTAGAAATTTAGTTTTACCACATTTTTATTCCATTTGTGTATCCCAGGATATGTACTCTCTCTAAAGTTACCTTCAACTACAGGCTATTAGCTGAGGCAAAAAACTGCACTAACTACCCTCTTCCCTCTGGAACATTAATCATTAGCATACTTTCAATCTTCACTCTATCGGCCAATTTCTCACATATAAATTTTTTTTAATACATTCTTCATAATAGACATAAACGTTGCGTATATATCCACAGTATTTATCATGTAAGTCGCCTGTGTTTCCTATATGCCTGAAAGAGAAATAAAGAATTATAGTTGGCAAGTAAGACATTTGAAACACATTGACAAAAAATTACTTTTCCAACATAACAGTATTGCTCCTAAGCTCTGAATTGTCTACAGTAAATTTGAATTAATGTTCATGGTATCAAGGATGTCCACGTTACTTGTGTTAATCCACAATTATACAGAGCCCAAAACTGCCTTATTTCTTTTGTCTTCTCCACTTTCTCACATCTGGATTATTTGCTGTCCCTTACTTCCAGGATTAGCTCACCCACCCTCTTGTATAATATGATATAATAGAGAGCTATTGCATGAGATTCTGCAAGTGATGTTTCCTTCTAGCCATTTTCAGAGATTTTACTCTGAAGTTCTGAATAACAGCTACTAGGCTACTAATCTAAAGGTTGGTGTTTTGATCCTACCCAGAGGCTTGTCAAAAGAAATATCTGGTGATCTACTGCTGAAAAATCAGCCATTGGAAACCCTACGGAGCACAGTTCTGCTCTGTACACATTGGGTCTCCGTAAGTCAAATTTGTTTCAACAGCAACTAGTTATTGGTTACTACCAGATTAGTGATCAGGGACTGTGCATTAAAGGCAAATTTGTGAATCGAAATTTTTACCATTTGGAGAAATGTAACATCAATAGTTGGGTCAATAAATATGGATTTAGACTCTAAATAGGTTTCTTGATTAAATTTTCAAGATGGGGATTTCCTATTTGTGGTGACATAGTATAGATGGCACTAATCACTAACCCCATCCAGAAAATTCCAATAATAGCAATGAGAAGAAAAGGGAAATTTTATATATACACATATTCATATACATATCAGATATAGATATATATCATACACATTAATGCTTATAAGCCAGGAGCACAAAACAAATGCTCTGAAAATTGGACCAAGTTAAGGGGTGACACAAAGAGAGGATGCTTTTATTTACAGACCACAGGTAGATCTGTCTGAGTACGAATTTTGTCAAAGGAGATAGCACACTCTGGAAGATAAACAAATAGCACTTTCTCTGATACAGCTAGTCTGAGATCAGTGGACTGGATTCAGATGCCCCAGTAGACCTGCTTGGGATTGGGAGCTTTATTAAGAAAATGAAGACAATTTATTTTGAAATAAGCCAGTCAGCCATGCAGTAATCTGGAGAAAACAAGTATTCATAGCAAGTAGCCATAGAGTTGGTAAACTTTACTAGCTGAAGAGAAATGGAGGTTAATTCATCCTCCCCAAAACACAAACAAAATAACAGATACGGTATATATTGGGTTTCATAGAGAGCTAGGGAGATGTTTTCTTAGTCAGGAACAGATTCATTATGTTCACAGTAAAACTACTTAGAAGAGATACAACTAAAGCATTAGGACACAGAAATGTTAAATATAAACAAATGAAAGAAGATGTCATGCAAATATTAGCCAAAATGATATCGAACTAAACCAAACCCTTTGCCATTGAGTTGATTCCGACTCACAGCGACCCTACAGGACAGAATAGAACTGTCCCATATGGTTTCCAAGGAGCTGCTGGTGGATTCAAACTGCTGACCTCTTGTTAGCAGCCTGAGCTCTTAACCACCGCACCACCAGGGCTCCAAAATGATATTAGGGAACTAAATTAATATCAGACAAAATAAACATTAAAACAAAAAGAAAGAACCAATGTAAGGTTCAATTTATAAAAATTTAAAAATAAATGTGTATACACTTAATGAAATAGCATCAATATGTATAAAGGACAAAATAATAGAAGTACAGAGAGAATGTAAACTAAGACCGCTAGAGTACAAGATTTCAATACCCTTTCCTAACATTGATCTGGTCTTTGGTAATTAGTGCTCAAGGGGTCAAATCTATCCTT